AATTGTCTTTGGCTATAAACGGACAGTAGAAAGAGAAGCTAAGAGGTTTAAACTTGAAATCAGATAGCCTTTTGTACATGATTTGTCATTAATTTTGCGAGACGTACTGTTAATATTACGTTTATTATAAAGAAATTGCAGAATAACCTGATGTCTTCCTTTTATTCCTCAGGGTCCATTTTAAGCATGAGCGGAGTATTTTCAGATAACTCCAGCTTAGCTATACGGAAAACACGACTGGGTAGAATTTTCGTGACTAATGGCTGTCCCTTTACGGCAATCCATTCCATGTTCATTTCAAAGGGGTTTAATTAGTGACATCATCGTACCCAAAAGGAAAAATATATATATATGCTCAGATAATGATGGTCGAATTGACGGTCAGCAGATTTCGTTGAGATGTTTAAGAAATTTTAAGCGCCCGCTTAAACTCAGGTAAGTTTTTCTTTTTCAATTAACATCGACTTTACGAGCAAAAAGTTCCATAAAAATTCAAATTAAAGTTTCATGATATTTCCCGGCTAAGCCCTTCTCCAGTGGGAAGTCAAGAGATGTTAGGCTGCGTGCAAACGAACGCAACATTAGGGACTTTAAGATAGGTCACTACGGTCGCCTGGGACGGTTAGATAGATGTCACGTCACGCAAAAAACGCGTGACCTTTTACCGTCGTCCTTTTGGGACGGTATGTTTTCGCCGGGTTTCTTCGTCGTGAAGACAACGGTGAAACCGATAAGAGTTCATGCATACTTATTGTCACTTTTCTTCTAAAACTGAGTAGCCACTGGGTTAAATACGCGTTGGCTTGTGTTTACATTGATTTACATATCGGTGAAATGAAAAAAAAAGCGAAAATGTCTGATTTCATTCATAACTTAGCTAGCGGCCGCATGGCGACTGCTTGTTCTATCCAGTGTCGTCCGCAATGGCAGAGGAAAATTGCCGAAAAGAAAGGTAAGGCCCAGTTCAAATGTTCATCTTTTCATGTACCGAACTTAATACCTGTTTAGGTCGACCCAAATGGTTCGAGGTTGACTCAGGCGTCGAACTTAAAGTGTAGTCGAACTCGATTCATTTTCAGGATGTTCAATGGTCTAGAAACTTTTAAACAAGTGAAAATAAATTTTAGTAATTTGTGCTTTAGTTTCGGCACATGAGAAGTTCGATGTTTCAACTGGGCCTAACAGTGATGTGATGATTGTAGCCGTCTTTTTATAACTTAAAAGTGCGTTTTTTATCAAGAAAAGACTTCTTCAACTCAAAAGGTGTTGGCTTAGGAAAGGAAAGTTCAAATAAAAACATCGACTACAGTTTTGAAAACTAGCTAGCTAGCTTTAATTTGTACCCTTATTCTTCTGATTGGTATTCTTCGTATAAAACAAGAAACTCTTCTTCAGTAATTGAGCCTTCTGCGAAAGAAATGACAAGCGAGTTTTCCACATGACTTCACCGTCCTCTGTTTTGTTGTCCGATCTTAAATTGAAAATTTTTCGCGGCTTCTTACCGTCATGGCCCCAGGCCGCCCGTATACGCATCCAACCGTCCCAGCCTACCGTAGTGACCTATCTTAAAGTCCCTATTGTTGACCAATAACTCTAAACCGATATTATTCCGTCAATCAAGTCTGATCATTCTGCTATCGTTCTTCACTTCAACAATGACAGACTGGCAAAAACACGGTCCTTCATTCTGGAAATTTAACGCCAGTCTAACGCCAGTCTAACCAAAGTGTCCCGCTTTGCCTAGATGAGTTTAAAGAGGTAATCGACAAAAGAGTATTATGGGATTTGATTAAGCACAGGATAAGACGGTTGACAATTATGGCAAGGAAAAAGCTTGACAAGGAAGGCAAAAGCCAGTATCTGATATTGAAAACTCTCGCAAAGTCGTGGAGGAAAAGTGCAGTAATTACCCTACTACCGAGAATAATGAACAACTTGACATTTTGAAATTAGAAGATGAAAATATTTATGAGGAATTAGCAAAGAGAGCAATCATTCCCTCGAAGGCAACTTGGTATGAAATGGGAGAGAAAAGTAACATCTCATCGGAAGGCTAAAAGTTCAGTTGGTAAGGTTTTTAGCAAAGAAAAATTGTTAGTCATTGACCCTAAAAAGATTTTGGGGGTTATTGAAGGCTTTTATTCTGGTCTGTATGAGAAGGACCATCTAGAACCTTCTGAAAATCTGATGAATACTTTTTTGGAAAATCCGCTCATGCCTCGACTCTCTGTTGATGATTCTCAAGTATGAAGGGAAGTTAACAATTGAAGAATGTGTGAAGAGCCTCAGTTCTTTTAAACCCAATAAATCTCTAGGCAAAGACGGGTCAACAGCTGAATTTTACAAATTTTTGGAGCATGGGGGGGGGGTTGGGAATTACTGGTAGCCAGCCTCAACTACTCTTATGACGTCGGAGAACTATCAAACTCACAAAAGAAAGCAATTATAATATTATTGGAAAAATAAGATAAGGATAAAAGAAACATATCTAACTGGAGACCAATATCTCTGATCAATGTCGATGTTAAAATAGGATCGAAGGCAATCTCTAAAAGACTAGAATCTGTCCTGCCTAGTATTATACAGTTTAACCAATGTGCATATGTTAAAGGCAGGACTATTTGTGATGCAGTTAGAACATGCAGTACAAGACATCTTAGCGTACACTGAGAGATTTGAAATCGACGGAAGATTAATAGCTATAGGTTTTAAAAAGGCTTTTGATTCTGTTAGCAGAGAATTTCTTTTTCGTACCCTATCTGCTGCTCATTTTGGCTCTTCTTTTATTCAATGGATTCACACTTTTTATAATAATATTTTTAGCTGTGTTTCAAACAATGGTTTTGCTACCGGACATTTTGACGTCCAGCGAGGCGTTAGGCAGGGGGATCCTCTTCCTCCGTACCTGTTTATTATCGTGTTAGAAACTTTGGCTTCAACGATAAGGTCAGACAATGATATTCGAGGTATCCAGGTGGATGGACAGGAGATCAAATTAGGGCTTTTTGCTGATGATTTTAGAGGTATATTTCACGTATGATCGCTGTCTCAGGCGCAAACTTAATTTCGATGAAATTACCAAAACCATTAAGGATAAGTTAAGAATTTGGAAATGGAGGGATCTTACTATCATTGGTAGAATTCAACTGGTCAAAACATTTATTATCCCTACTTTCTTATACCGTGCTAGCTTAATTTGTATGAATAAGGAATTTGTAAATAAAGTAAACAAAATTATATTTGACTTTATTTGGAAAGGTAAAGACAAAGTGAAACGTCATGTGCTCGTTGGGGACATTGAAGATGGAGGATTAAAAGCTCCACACTTGGATTCTATTATTAAAACTCAAAGAATACTATGCTGTAAAAAGCTAGCGAGTGAAGACCTTAGTAGCTAGAAAATTATTCTTCATCATTACCTAAAACCAGTAGGTGGCAAATTCATCCTCGACTGCAACTTCCATGTAAAAAAGCTGCCTATCAAGCTTTCGGGTTTTTATAAGAATGTTTAAGGGATTTCTCGCGATGCTCCGCAGCATACAAGGTCAGTCTAGGCAATATTAATGCAGTGGATATTTCAAAGATCATTCTGTAGAATAAATGTTATATCTTAATTGGTGGTAAAAGCGTTTTCAACAAAGATTAGTAGAGAAATGTGTTAACCATGTAGGTTCAATAATAAGGTGTTCATCGCAACCATGTTCTTTTCATTTCTTTGGACAAAGTAATTTTTTCGCTTAAACTTCTCGCACAAGTGTACAATTCGGTCGGCAGACAGTTTCTAGGCGGACTATTCACCACAAGCCAGCTGACCAAGCAATCAACCAAGCAAGGAGAAACGCTTTCCGTTCGATGGTTTTGTTTGTTTGTTTGTTTTTTTTTTTTTCATGACGGATGAAGGGTAAACTGTATTAGCTTCCTTGACCACTGAGTCTTGCTCAGGTTCGCGCGACTTGCTGCTGTTCCTTTGTTTCCTCAATAGTCGAAGAAAAATGAGTTCTAAGTTTCGTATGTTACAACGGTGTCCTAGGATGTCGCAGTAAATGCCAAGTTCTACTGACAGTGTATACTATGCAGTATTTTAATCTTGGCTGGGTTAACTGTTTAAAAGTATAACTGCATGTCAGTTACAAAAAGTGGCTCCTGGAAGGTCCCTTACAGTAGAGCATGAGCTACTTTACGTGAGCATTCGGATCGGATGTCCAAACGTGGAAATTAACCGTACATTATTTTATATGCAATTTTTTTTTTGCCTGGGCATTCAGTTAGAATGTTGTCAACATAGCATTTAATGTACAAAGAGTTACTAGCTCGCTCTTTTTCAGTGAAAGCTGAAAGTGAATGCTGCTGGTACTGGGACTAGAACGTATTAGCTGTAAGACTGCATGCAAACGGAGGCAACAACTCCCAATATTGTTGCACCAACAATGTTGGGAGTTGTTGCGTCCGTGTTGGCAGTGGTGTGCAAACGAATGCAGCGACTCTCAACATTGTTTTGACCTACAGTGTATCGTGGGAAGGATACAACCCATAAGTCATAAGTAAACCATTCGTAATGAGCGTGCGTGGCCCTAAAAATGTTGGAAGAGCTGTGCAAACGGATCCAACATTGTTGCGCTACGCTTCGGCGATCACGGAACAAAATAAATGTTGGGAGTTGTTGGCTGAAAAGTTTGACCGATTTCTACCTTTGTGTAACAACACACACATCCAACAACATGCGAGCGGACGCAACATGTAATGTCTTCTTGACAGACATCACTTATTTGAATAAATGGGTTTCTTTGCCAAGTAAAACGTCGAGCTGTAGGATTCCGAATTCTCCCTTTGTCGACCAGATCAAAATCAAGACACAAATCCTGAATACTTTTAACTGAAGCCTTTTGAGCTGGATTTCCCCCTGAGCAGTCAATATCTGACTCACGCAAGCGTAACATTAAAGTCCCCACCCACCACAAGCTTAGGTTCATTATCTTTAACAACATCATCGATTGTCGAATTCAGATTTTCAATAAAACAGCACTGTTCTCTCCCTGAACTTTGTTACGAACATAAACGTTTGCCAATAAGGAATCTGCTCTTTGCACTTCAGCTTCTAATACAATATAGCGACCTTCATCGTCCGTCCTAATCGAAATTAAGTTGAAATCTAAATCACCTCTAACCAGAACCATTACCCCACAACTATGACAAGTACAATGTGAAAAGAAAAGCTTACCCTGCCATTGTGTTCTCCAGATATCTTCAACTTCTGCTGTACTCTAGGTTTCTTGTAAAACAAATAATATCCGATTTCTGTTCTTTAAACCACATAAAAATGGCTTTTCTCCTCGTAGCGGAGCGAATCTCTCGAACATTTAAGGATAATAATTTAAAATCAGTATAATCCTTACTATCGTAACGTTATTGACAACTCCAGAAAATACCATATCATACCTTAATGCTCTTTGTTTGTCGGCCCAAAATTTTGCATAAGCATTGTTTTCAGTTTCTCGTGGGGCCATTTTAACTTCCAAGAGAAACTGAAGACAATGCCTATGCAAAATTTTGGGGTGACAAACAAAGAGCATTATGGTATGTTACGGTATTTTCTGGAGTGGTCAATTACCTAATCTTGAGATGACAAGTGACACACGAGAAATACATAAATTAACAACGAAAGGAATAATGGCACAACGTACTGTCTAAAACCACAAACATTTAACACAATCAACAATAGGATATAATGGCTGCCGATAATATTATCTAACACGCGGCCTATGAGATTTGGTACCACTAATAGCATATGCAAAAAGTGCTCCCGCGGTATGAATCAAATAGGTTTTACTAAATAGAGTTTAATATTAGATTATGACCCACAGATTAAAAATGAGGAGAAAAAAACATTATGAAGCAACGAAAGGTCCCTCAATAAATAAATTGTCCGGCTCTTTTCTACTAATGTAGGCAATTTCACCCTCCTCTCCTACACGCTTTAACCGTGGCCATTGCTTCCTCCGATTTTCTTGTATCTCCTTAGGTAGAACTGCATACACTTTAACATCGATCTCATCCTGTGCTTCCAAAGTAGCTTTAAAGACCCGTTCCCAATCAGGATATCTAAGGAACCGTGCGATGATGGAGCTCGAGATGCCTGCTTTTTTCCTTCCGAGGCGATGAACTCTCTGAAACTCGATATTATGAGCCCCTTCGATATCGAGATCTCTTTCCAAGATACAGTACAACACTTCGCTTGAGTCTTCAATTGTTGACTCTGTACTTTCAGGAAGGCCAAAAAATCGTAAATTCTTTCTGCGGTTGTAGACCTCCTCATAGAGAAGACGCTCTTTTAGGGATACGATACTTTGTTGGTTATTCCTGCTTTGTGTTTTGAGATCCTCAACTTCGGCATTTGCATATTGTAAACCTGTATCCATTTCTCTCAATTTGGTTTCTGCCGAGTCGGCTCTGACCTTGAGCGACGACACTTCTGATTGAATGTTGGTCATCGTCTTCAGTCTAGACCAGCCACGTTAGCCATAACACTTTCAATTTTTTTGGCCATCTCGCCGAGCTTGTCTAGAACTTGTTGCAGCTTCACTCCTATGTCCTTCGACATATCCAAGGCCACGAATATCTCATCCGTTTCGTTTGGTTCTTGGCTACAAACTCTTTTTCCTTGCGGTGAAGTCTCACTGTCCGAACTACTACTTCCCCTTTCCTTCCGCTTAAATCTACTTAAAATGTCATCCATATAAACGTATTGAGGCAAAAGGAATAAGATTAAAGAGTAAATTTGCGGGAGCGATATTCCAACGTCTTCACTCCTCCATAGCCGACCCAGATCCACGCATTATGCATTATATTCAAATCGAAATGACGGAAAGTATGTCCACTCCAACGAAGATTTCTGCAAGAAATCCAGTTTGCAGGTTATGTGGTAGTACTCATGATAGTCGCTATATGCTTCGAGTACTCAACAAGGCCGGTTTATCGAAAGTTTTATAAAACCTGTGGTATAAAAATTTCTGAGGACGATACGAGGTCAGCAGTGTTATGTAGGAGTGGCGTTACATTCGTAGACAAAATGGATCAGTTTATTCGGAGAGCTCAATCTGTAGACAATAAGCCGTCTGATAAACTCAGAATATTCTGTTAAGCGATGTATTCAACTTTCACAGTCTTCGCATCAGCCGTCGAAGCATCTATCAAAGGATACAGGATATGCCACCCGAAAGCTTCGATGTCGATGAGCTGCAATAAAAAGGGGTGATAGGCCTACACGACTCTTACCTCAGGCCAGAAATGCTCCTTGTTCCAATAAGTTTTTTTCCTCTGCTGGGTAGATTATGCTCTGAAAGGTTCAACACTTTCACTGAGCAAACGTGATATAAGCCACTTGTTTCACACTGAGAGGTCATGGAATACATATCGATTTACTGTGGTTTTTGTTTCTGGTTGGCAGGTTTTGCCCTCTAATTAGACTGCGAGCAGTCCCTCTTTTTTCTTGGTCCATCGAAC